CAAGCTCTTAAGCGGCACAGAGGGTGTCTTATAAAGACCCAGCACAGCCAGGCATGGTGGCTCACACCTGTAATCCAAGTACTTTGGAGGCCAAGGTGGGCGGATCACCTGAGGTCGGGAGTTCAAGACCAGCCTGACTAACATGGTGAAACCCCATTTTTAAAAACTAATAATAAAAAATAAAATAAAAATAAAAAAATAAAGACCCAGCACATAGGTAACATTGTGACTGTTCTATGCACACACAACATACAATGAGGAATATCATCTTTCCATACAGACACAGCCCATTATTGAGGCTCCGAATATCACACAAGATCAGTTAAAAGTTTACATTGTGACTCTCATACATGGATTCAGTTCACAGGTAGAATGGTGAATTTTATACCAGAACTCAGCACAAGCGTGAGCCAGTGACTAACTGCCCTAATTAGACAGGTGAGGTTGAAGCTTTCATGCATAAATTCTCTCCATCACTGATATTTCTATTTGTGTGCTTATTGCTAATTACAGGTGTTGTCTCTTATACCTTGAGGCATAACATGTGTGCTGCTGTGAATCTCATCCTTGGACCTTTCTGCACATGTGACTTTGACATAAAATATTTTTCAGCACCTCATTGACTTTACTTCCCTGCATAAACCCTGCCAACAGTTGAGATTATTACTTATACCTGACCCAAACACCTAGGCGATGTGACTGTCCTGCCTGGGCCTTGCCCACAAGGGCCATTGTAATGTATCTCTGAGCCCATCGCCAGGATAATGAGACTCTACTTTCCTGCCTGTTTCCTGCCTTCAGTAACAAAAATCTGGGCATATTACCTAGATGGTACCACTCTTCTCCCATGACTGGCCCTGTGAACAGGGGGGATTGTGACATATTGCTAGGCCCAGCGCCTAGGTGATGTGACTCTTTAGACCACGTTCTGCACGCAATGGGCACTCTGACCTATCACTGAGCCTAGCACAAAAGTGATGTGATTTTTCTGTGTGGGTCCTGCCCATGGAGGAATATTGACATTTCCCTGGACCAGCATTCAGGTGATGTGACTTTCCTCCCTGGCTCTGCTCATGGGTGGGGTTGTGACCTATACCAGGGCCCAGGCAATTGTCATGATGATAGCTTTCTTACATGGACCAAGCCAATGGGAGAAATTTTGACTCTAATAGTTAGGTTTGGGGCAACAACTAAGGTCCTTAGTCTACTAACTGTAAAAAAGGTCACAGAAGATTATGACACTCACATGTATTTTATAAAGCCTTTGGGGAGTATAGAGAGTTATATAACAGGGCCCAGCAAACAGTGAATTTGTCACTCTCAGACATATGTAGCCAACAATTAGGATTGTCACCTTCATATGTGGATGGAGTCCACTAGTGAAATTCTAAATCTCACACATGGATGCAGTTCAGAGTTGAAATTGTGACTGTCATATGTGTATATGGCCTCAGGCTGGGTGGTGACTAGTTTCTGGATCCACCTTATAAGCATGGTGTTGACTCTCATGCTTAGACCAAACCAATAAGACATATATTGACTTGCATTTAGCATTAGGTTGACTGGTAAGGTCCTGAGTTTCCTACCTGTACAGAGGTCACAGAGGACTATGACCTAGCATATGGTATAATTCTCTCAAGTGATACAGAGTATGCTAAAACAGGGTCCAACACACAGTTGAGATTGTTACTTTCATATACACATCCTGTCACAAGTTAAGATTGTCACCCTCGCACACAGACAGTACCCACTGCAAAGTCCTAAATCTTTTCTGTATGCAGTCCACAGTTGACATTGTGACTGCCATATGTGTAATGGTGACATATTTCTGAACTCCACTCACAGGCACAGTGATGAATCTCATTCCTGGACAGAACCAATAGGAGAGATGTTGACTCCCCTCACTGAGCTTAAAGCAATGTGTAAGATTGTGTGTCCACACAAGCATACAGGACTGAGAGAGTATTGTGACTCTTATGCCTAATTTATAATGCCCTTATATGGAGAGAGCATTATAAAAGGGCCCAAAATACTGGTGAGATTGTTACTCTCATATGTGCTCCCAGTCAACAGTATTGTCACTTTCTAAATAAACACAGCCCACTGCTAAGGTTCTGAATCTCACATCTAGAGGCAGTCAAAAGTTGGCATGGTTACTGTCATACTTGGATTCTACACACAGATAAGATGATGACTCTGAACCAAGATTCAGCACCTTGTGATGTGTTGACTTTTTTACTAGCACATTGTCTGCAGTGTGCCAGAAAAATGTTTGCTCTGATTTATACTCTCTATTTAATTTACACTTATTCATCACTTCTCTTGTCATATGTAACAATGAATGCTTATTCGTCCTTAATGTTAAACTAATTTTTATTCTAACATCATTTTTTTTTTCTTTTTGAGACGAAGACTTGCATTGTTGCCCAGGCTGGAGTGCAATGTCACAATCTTGGCTCACTGCAACCTCCACCTCCTGGATTCAAGTGATTCTTCTGCCTCAGCCCCCTGAGTAGCTGGGGTTATAGGCACCCACCACCACACTCAGCTAATTTCTTGTATTTTTAGTAGAAATGGGGTTTCTCCATGTTTGTCAGGCTGGTCTCAAACTCCCAACCTCAGGTGATCCACCTGCCTCGAGCCTCCCAAAGTACTAGGATTACAGACGTGAGCCACCGCTCCTGGCTCTAACATCTTATTTAAATTCTGCATCTGCTTCTTCATTTCTTTCTAATTTTTGTACAGAAATGGCATATGATATTTTTTCCCTTGAATTCAATTTGACTCATTATAAATGAATATAAGCATTTGATTATTCAATATATCTACTAGTTTTAAAATATACTTTTTATAGTTTTGAAATAGTTTTAAAATACGTTTTGAAAATACAATTTAGTTTTCAAATTTTTTTAAAATAAAATACCTTCTGTAAGACCCTTATATAATGCTGAGGATACTATAAATTGTTTTAGAATTTATAGCTTATTTTTAATGAGTTCTGTTTTGATTCCAATGTCCAAACACATATTATGAAATATTGGCTAAAATGGAATGAAGTGTTGGGGCTGATGGAGTTGATCTCTGATTTGACTTTCTAGCAAAATTTATGGCTAAGTTATCACTGGTGCAAGTTTTTTTTTTTTTTTTTTTTTTTTTTTTTTTTTTTTTTTTTTTTTTTTTTTTTTTTTTTTTTTTTTTTTTTTTTNTTTGAGACTCAATCTCACTCTGTCGCCCAGGCTGAAGTGCAGTGATGTGATCTCCACTCACTGCAACCTCCGTCTCCCAAGTTCAGGTGATTCTCCTGCCTCGGCCTCCCGAGCAGCTGGGATTACAGGTACGTGCCACCACGCCCGGCTTTTTAAAATATTTTCAGTAGAGATGGGGTTTCACCATGCTGGTCAGGCTGGTCTCTAACTCTTGACCTTGTGATCCACCCACCTCGGCCTCCCAAAGCGCTAGGATTACAGGCGCGAGCCACTGCACCTGGCCAAGTTTTGTTTTCATAAGTTTTCTTAAATATGTTTTTCTAATCTTCTGCTGTTTCATGTTTTAGTCTATATGTTAATTTCTGAGAAATGCATACTCACTAGGCTCTCTTCTTTAACAGTACAATTTCAGGTTTTTTACTGTAATTGTATTTATTTTTCTTTCCTCTATTTTGAAGCCTAATCATTATTTTTGTTAAACTTTATGCCTATAATAATGTAAAATATTTCAGTAGGTGTATGTGAATTATTCCTGTTTGAAATTCTTTTTGAAGTAATTAACATTTTTTTCTGTGTGTGGACACATCCTGCCCATCTCAAAAATAAAGCACTCAAAATAATAATAATAATAATAAAGCACTCAGGCTGGAGTGCTCTGGCGTGATCTCAGCTCACTGCAATCTCCGCCTCCTGGGTTCAAGTGATTCTCCTACAACAGCCTCCCAAGTAGCTGGCATTACAGTTGCCACTCAGCTAATTTTTGTATTTTTAGTAAAGATGAGGTTTCACCATGTTGGCCAGGCTGGTCTAGAACTCCTGACCTCAAGTGATCCACCACTTCATCTTCCCAAAGTGCTGAGATTACAGGCGTAAGCCACTGCACCTAATCTACTCATATATATCTTTTTCATATATAATCATATGTGTCTTTTTTGTTCAGAATATCATCGTTATGATTTTTGTTTTGTTTATTGTTTAAATTAAGGAATGAAGTGTTTATATTTGTCATAAATTGGAAAGTGAAAAAGAATTACAATATTTCAAAATGGTATATCCTTTAAGGAATTAGGGTATAAGGTTTTTTATTCGATCTACAGCAGAAAGGGAGTAGATGAAGAACCAGGCCCCCTCTCCTCCCTGGTTAATTAGGAGAGTGGGGGCTGGGCGCAGGGGCTCATGCCTGTAATCCAAGCGCTTTGGAGGCCAAGGCCAGCAGATCTCCTGAGGTCGGGAGTTCAAGACCAGCCTGACCAACATGGTGAAATCCCGTTTTTAATAAAAAATAAATTAATAAAAATAAAAATAAATAAAAAATTAGGAGAGTGGAAGTGTTGTTTGGTAGAGATGGGTAAGCGTGATGGCTGCTTGCATGGAGAGAACTGTTTCTGCCACCCCACCTGTCACATTTTGGGCTGGATAGTAAAACCAACCCATATTATTTGTAAAATCAAGGATAATTACATCTCTTTCCAGATAATTATATCTTAAAGCAGAAAAGCTCATTAAAGAAGGTAGTGCCTTAGAGATCACCTAAATTTCCTTGACCCTTAGGATCATATGGGGGGCAACTGCCACTGAGAAGGACATGGCAATTACTTGAGAGAAAAAATTGGTGCGAAAATGTGGCTCTGATGAGAGGATGCAGATAATGGCAAGGGGTACGTGAGGTGAAACCTTCTGAGGACACGCCCATCTCAGCAGACAGGTGAGAAGGAGCAGCCACTTCAGGGAGTGAAGATGGGTGAGATGCCACCAAATACGCACCAGAAGGCATCATTAAACACTGTGAATGGAAGTGGCGGTGCGAGGGCGGCTGCACAGTGAGCAGAGCAGCGGTCCGGACGGCAGCGTGTTCCCCGAGCTCTTCGCCTCTCCCCGCCCGCCAGCCGAGGCAACTAGAACCCAGCGGCCCCAGCAGCAGCGCCGAGAGCAGCCCCAGTGGCAGCGCCATGGCTGGGTGGAACGCCTACATCGACAACCTCATGGTGGACGGGACCTGTCAGGACGCGGCCATCGTGGGCTACAAGGACTCGCCCTACGTCTGGGCCGCCGTCCCTGTGAAAACCTTTGTCAACATCACGCCAGCTGAGGTTGGTATCCTGGTTGGCAAAGACCGGTCAAGTTTTTACGTGAATGGGCTGACACTTGGGGGCCAGAAGTGTTCGATTATCTGGGACTCACTGCTGCAGGATGGGGAATTTAGCATGGATCTTCATACCAAGAGCACCGGTGGAGCCCCCACCTTCAATGTTACTGTCACTGTCACCAAGACTGACAAGACGCTAGTCCTGCTGATGGGCAAAGAAGGTGTCCACGGTGGTTTGATCAACAAGAAATGTTATGAAATGGCCTCCTACCTTCGGCGTGCCCAGTACTGACCTCGTCTATCCCTTCCCCTTCACTGCTCCCCACAGTTTTGCACCCTTTTCCTCCCCATACACACAACACCGTTTTGTTTTTGGGGCCATTACCCCACACTCCTTATTGCTGCCAAAACCACATGCGCTGGGGGCCAGGGCTGGATGGACAGACACCTCCCCCTACCCATACCCCTCCTGTGTGTGGTTGGAAAACTTTTTTGTTTTTTGGGTTGGTTTTTTTTTTTTTTTTTTTTCTGAATAAAAAAGATTATACCATAAAAAAGAAAAAAATGTAGATGGTGTAGCTACAAGATGACCAGGGACCAGATGCATTCTATGAAGCCATGATATGACTCAAGACTCCCAGCATCGAGATGTCATTTGCGGGACCAAAAACAAAGAAATGGGGCATTCCTAAATGTGAAATTAAAATAGAACAACTTTTAAAAGGTCTTCCACTAGATTCAATTATTTGCTATTATGAGGTTTGGGCGCGGTGGCTCACGCTTGTAATCCCAGCACTTTGGGAGGCTGAGGTGGGCAAATCACAAGGTCAAGAGATCAAGACAATCCTGACCAACATGGTGAAACCCCGTCTCTACTAAAAATACAAAAATTAGCTGGTCGTGGTAGCGTGCACCTGTAGTCCCAGCTACTCGAGAGGCTGAGGCAGGAGAATTGCTTGAACCCGGGAGGCGGAGGTTGCAGTGAGCCGAGATCGTGCGGCAGCACTCCAGCCTGGCGCCTGG